AAATCAGTCAGCAAATACTTATGAATTCTTCTTTGTGTGCCATGCACAGAGTTACCAAGACAAGAACAAAATAGTCCCTGCCCTCAAGGAACTTACAAAAGGTGGGGAGAGGTGAGAACAAAATGTTTCCATACAAATATATAAAAAATATATGCAAAGCAATGTGAGAGTGGGAAGGTTCTAGAAGCACAAATTTTTAAGCACAAAATAAAGACCCCCTCAAAGATCACCAACTAACAAAAGTCAGAAAGACAAAATTAACGGAAACTGAGACTACTTACCTGGAAAATCATTTTGTGAATCTTGGGTTGGCAGAGCACTTTCTTCACAATAGCCCAGTGAGGCAGGTAGTTTAAGTATTACTATTCCCCACCACTGTGCTGTAAGAAATATCCAGGGGAATGGTTTCAGAAAAACCTGGAAAGACTTAAATGAACTGATGCAAAGTGAAACGAGCAGAACCAGAACATTGCACACAATAATAGCGCTATTGTAACAACAATCACCTGCAAAAGACTTTGCTATTCGGATCAATGCGATGATCCATGACAATTCCAAAGGACTGATGATGAAAAAGGCTATCCATCTCTACAGAGACAACTGAGGAACTCTGAGTGCCGATTGAAGCATATTTTTTTCTTGCTTCCCCCCATGATATGGCGAATGCATAAGATGTTTTCTATTCCTACTTCACAAATATTGCATAAGTATTTCATATTTATAATGGGTATTGTATTTTTTTTTTGCCTTCTCAATGGGTGAAGGAGAGGTGGCGGGAAAGAGAGAATTTAGAATGAAAAGATTATTTTTAAAAAAGGGATTATTATCCCCTTTTTGCACCTACAAAAACAGAAGCTCTGAAAGACTTAATATTTACTCATGACCACATAACTACTAAGTGTTGTCTGAATCCATGTCTCCTGGCATCAAGCCTATAACTTTATCCAACATGGCAGCCACCAATTTTTTTTATAAACATCCTCAACATAGATAGCACATACTTTGCACCCCCTACCCTAGACTGGTCAATCAGGAAGTCCCATTCAAAGGTAAAGGACAGTTAGGTAATCTGGTCTCAAGGAAACTCTGGGTGGGAGAGAGGGGAGAGAAGTCTATTAGTGATGCAAATGTGAATTTACTTGTATAGGCACAACAAAGCAACTCCTTTAGAAACCACTTCAGTAATGTTAAGGCTTTCTGAATTTGACTTAGAAGAATTTGAAAGGTAGTGGAAGACTCTATTTAATTGGACTAGAGCTGGAGTTTATTTACCTCCTAGTCTGAATAGTTTTCAATGGTCCTGTTAGCCATTGTTCACACAAGGTTAATTGGCTTGTTTGTGGCTTTTACAAAAGAGCTGTCTGCAGCCTCTACATCTCAACCAGCATTCATTTGGGGACCACTTTGTGCAGGATGTTATGCTAAGCTCTTTATCTCTTTCATTCATTCATTCAATAAAAATAGTCCTTGTTCCTCCAAGTCATGTTAAGCAAATATCAGGAACCCTCCCGGATAATTAGTTAGATAAAATGGTAGTCCTTGTGAGCTAAGACCAGAAAGTGAAGGACCTTAACAAGTTTGAACAAAAAGAGAGTAGACACAAGGGATGAGTGCCCTGAGGCAGCCAGCTGGGGAAGGAAATGCATAGAGGCAAACTTCAATATTACTTTTTATAAATGGACTTTTTTTATGTCAAAAAAAAAATCAGCTTTTCAGGGCTCAAAGGTATTCGGGAGTAAGTTCAAACCACTTGGGGCGAGGGAGTAGGAAAAGAGGTTTGAATATTCAAACCTTTGCTGTACAAGACTTGCCTAAGGAATACAGGTGCATGATATAGGGTCTACATCAAAGTGTTAGAGGAATTTAGAAGAGAGAACCCTCCCAGCTAGGGAAAAAATTAAGTAAGGCTTCTTGGAGGAGGTGATATTTGAGATGACAATATTTTGACATTCAAAGATTGATTGGGCAGGTGGAGCAGGAGAGGAGAAGTTGAGAGTCCAGACACTGTAGTATGAATTTAGATGAAATGAACTTATGTGAAAGGGAATAGCCTAGGATGAAGTGTAAAAGATAGTTGGGGCCAGATTGTAGAGGGCATTGAATGCCATGCTTAATTATATTGGAAAATGAGTAGTCACTGAAGGCTTTAGAGCAGGAGGATAGTGGTTTAGCAAAAGTTCTCTGCCAGTAATGTCACCTGAGTTGGAAGTCCAGATAAGAAAATGAAGGTCAGAATTTAGTGTGGTGACACTTGACTTAGAAATTCAATTCAATTCAACCTACATTTGTAACGTGCTGCTCTGTGTGAGGGTGCTCAATGATGAGGATGCAAATACGAACGAATGAAAAAGTGTTTATTAAATTCCACTTACTCTGTTCCAAGCACTAAGCTGAATGCTGCAGATACAAATCAAAAAAGAAGATATCCCTTCTAAATATTGGGGATGGGATCTGAATGCCTAAAAGGAAAAGACCATGTCTTTGGCATCTGCACCCCAAAAAAGGAAAAGCCCCGGACTTTTCCTGGTGGCCCAGGTCCCTGGAGTTGACCTGGGGCAACCAGCCTTTCTCAGTTAATTAACTGTCCTTGCATAGTGGCTTTGATCCTGCCCCAATCTTCAGTTCTCTGTTATCTCTGACCCAGCCCAACTTTCACTGTTACTTCAAGATGGTATCCAGTTACTTCCCACCTTTGATACCCTTTAGACCCCATTCTCCCTTGGCCATGTGGTCTAGGTCCTTGGTGTTCTCTGTTACTTCGCAGTCACCCCAGCCTACTGGCTGCTCTCATCCAGATCCCTTTTCTATAAGAGTCAGTTTCATCTACCCAGGGTGGATTCTTAAAATTACACTCATTTTAACTGGTATTGTAATAAACCTTGTCTTTGTGAAAGAAGGCTTGGGTCAGATTCATTGGGAGGTAGTACCTGTGTCGCTATTTGGAAGTCCCAGGACCCCTAAACCTCAACAAATGGACAGTTCTTGGACTCAAAACACAATGTGTTCAAAGCAGAATATGATAGGGCCAAAGTACTCTTAAATATTTAAGGAAAGAGCCTATCACGTTGTTTTTTTGTGAATAGTATTTTATTTTTTCCAATTGTGTATAAAGATAGTTTTCAACATTCATTTTTATAAGATTTTGAGTTCCTCATTTTTTCCCCTCTCTCCATTTCCTCCCCCCTCCCCAAGACAGCAAGTAATCTGATATCAGTTATACATGTGCAATCATATTAAACATTTCCACATTAGTCATGTTGTGAAAGAAGAAACAGAACAAAAGGGAAAAGCCACAAAAAACCAAACAAACAAAAGTTAAAGCAATTTGCTTCAATCTGTATTCAGACTCCATAGTTCTTTCTCTGATTGTGGATAATATTTTCCGTAATAAGTCTTTTGGAATGGTCTTAGATCACTGCATTGCTGAGAAAGCTTAGGCAATCATAGCTGACCATTGCATAGAGTTACTGTTACTACTATGTACAATGTTCTCTAGTTCTGTTCACTTCACTCAGTATCAATTCATGTAAATCTTTCCAGTTTTTCCTGAAATCCACCTGCTCATCATTTCTTATAGCACAACAGTATTCCATTACATTCATATACCACAACTTGTTCAGCCATTTCGCAGTTGATGGACATTCCCTCAATTTCCAATTCTTTGCCACTGCAAAAAGAGCTGTTATAAATATTTTTGTATATGTAGATCCTTTTCCCTTTTTTATGATATCTTTGGAATACAGACCTAGTAGTAGACCTAGGTATTGCTGGGTCAAAGGGTATACATAATTTGATTGCCCTTTGGACATAGTTCCTAATTGCTCTCCAGAATGGTTGGATCAGTTCACAACTCCACCAACAATGCCTTAGTGTTCCAATTTCCCCACATCTTCTCCAACATTTATCATTTTCCTTTTCTATTATATTAGCCAATCTAATAGGTTTGAGGTGGTATCTCAGAGTTGTTCTAATTTGCATTTCTCTAATCAATAGTGATTCAGAGCATTTTTTATATGGCTATAGATAGCTTTAATTTCTTCATCTGAAAACTGCCTATTTATATTCTTTGACCATTTATCAATTGGGGAATGACATAGTCTTATAAATTTAACTCAGTTCTCTATGTATTTGAGAAACGAGGCCTTTATCAGAAACATTTAAGAGCCTATCACTTTCTTTTTTTTTCTTTTTTTTAAAGGCAATTGGGGTTGAGTGACTTGCCCAGGGTCACACAGCCAGTAACTGTAAAGTGGTTGGTCTGAGGTTGGATTTGAACTCAGGTCCTCCCGACTTTAGGGCCAGTGAAGATCCTATCACTTTCAAAGGCAAGGGACAATCAGAAGGCTTCTTGGAGGGGATGGACTACTAACTGGACTTGGAAGGAAGAAAGGGCCTTCAACCAATAAATATAGGGGATGAGGGTGAACAAAGGCTTGGAAATGGGAAAGATTAGCATAAGGCCCAGGAAAGAACAGTCAAGTTAGTCTGAAATGTTTTGTTTGTCATTTGTTTTCAAAGACAGGATCTATGACATCACAGGCATTGTCTTGATTTTAACCGGAATAGGATTTAAGTGAGGGAGAGTTGCACAAAATTGTCAGCCTCACTCTTTCTTCTACAGTCATGGAGTCTAGTAGCAAGACAAAAAGTCAGGATGGCTGGTGATGGCCCAGGATGCAGTTGGGATCTTATGTCTGACCAAGCTCTAAGTGCTCCACAGTTCCCGATTCAGGGCCTTAATGGCCATTGGAAGAAATTGTTCTCATCTGCCCATTTCTCCTGGGGAAGTCTTCACATGCTTGGTGGGGATAGACATTCCCCTAACTCATTCATGGGCATGAGGCCTGTTGGTTACTCTTAACCTGGATTAGCCCATCTGCTGAACTGGTTTTACCAAGGTGTGGACATTGTGTCTGCTACAGCTTCTTGCAGCCGAGTGAGAGCATTATGAGATAGGTTCTTTTTGTTGCTGGGAGACCGTGAAGGATCTTAAATGCCAGCCAGGAGTTTAAACACTATTACATCAACAACATAGGCACCAAATTCTTTCTTTTTTTTTTTTTAATTATTTTGAACCTGACACACATCAAACATGAACATTTCTTTATACAAAGAAAATAAGAAAAAAAAGATTGTATATGATACTGTGAAACTACTACATCTAGGTAGGTTTTTCTTAAAGTACATATTAAGTTTAACAAAGTGGTTCCAATGCTGCCCTGCTTGTCTGTGTCTCCTGAATTTCTTTCTCCTTTCATTTTTGATGTTCGTATTTAATATGGATCCATTCTATTTTTAATATATCAAAAATATTCTTCTTTCTTTTGGGGGGGAGGGAAGGGGGCATCAATATTACTACCTATCACACTTCCCCTAATACAATAAAAGCCCTCCTTTGCAATGAACAAGTATAAGCAAGCAAAACAAAATTCACATATTAGTTATGCCTGAAAAATATATTTCTCATTTTCTGTCTGTAGGCCATTACCTTTGCCATGGAGTAGGAAGCATGCTTCATCAGTCTTCAGGAGTGGGAACTGGTCATGGCACTGATCAGGGTTCTTAAGTCTTTCACAATTGCAGGCCTTGATTCAGTGAGCCACCTAGTTTGCTTTTAATACTTTTCTACAATAAAAATGTTGTTATAAATATTTTTGTACATAAAGGTCCTTTACCTCTTTTTAATTCTATGGGGTGCACACCTAGTTGTTATCACTGGTCAAGGGTATTATAGTTTAGTGACCTTTTGGGCATAGTTCCAAATTTCTTTTCCAGAATGGTTGGAACAGTTCCCAGTTCCAAAATTGGTACTAAATTACCTGTCCCCCCAGTCCTTCCAACAATTGTCACCTTTCCTCTTTTGTCATCTTTTCCATTCTAATGTGTACATAGTAGAAACCCAGGGTTGTTTTAATTTTCATTCCTCTAATTATTAGTGATTTGGAGTGATTTTTCATGTCTACTGTTAGCTTTCCTTCCTTGCTTTTAAGAACTGCCTGTTCATATCCCTTGACCTATTGGAGGAATGGCTTATGTTCATATATATATGTATCAATTCCTTATCTATCTTGGACAGCAGACTTTTATCAGAGAAATTTGCTACAAAGAATTTTTTGTCATAATTATAATTCTCACTGCAATGATTTGACTTGTGAAAAACATTTTAATTTTGAATAATCAAAATTACATAAATCTATGTATATTTTATCTTTAATACCCTCCATTTCTTGTTTGAGAAACAACTCCTTCCTTATTCAAAATTGTACAAAGTCTCTCCTTCCTTGCTCTTCTAATTTTCTTAGGAGATGACCTTTCATATCTAGGTCACGTATCCATTCGGAGTTCATTGTGTGAGATGTTGACCTAAATCTAATTTCTGCAGGACTTCTGGTTTTGCTAACAGGTTTTGCTGAATAGTTAAGCCTTACCCCAATACTTAGGGACGTTGGGATTATCTAACAAGATGTCATTATATTAAATCACCTAAGTATTTTACATAACAAATCTGTTCCACTGATCAACTTTTCTATTTTAAAACAGTACCAAATATGTTTTATTATTACTGCTTTGTAGTATAGTTTGGAATCTGGCACTGCTAGGACCCCTTCCCACTTTTTTTTTCATTATTTCCCTTGAGACTCTTGATTTTTGGATCCTACAGATGAATTTTATTATTTTTCTTAGTTCCATAAAGCAACTCTTTAGCACTTCAATTGGTAAGGTACTGAATCTATAAATTCAGAAAGCATTGTTCTTTTTATTATATTAGCAGAGTCCAACAATGAAAATTAATATATTTTTTCAATTACTTGTTTGTATTTCTATGAAGTGTTTAGATAATTTCTATGTTCTGTATTTTTAAAAGATTTTTTTGCATCATTTCCTGCCCATGGGATGCCTCAGCCTACTTCACTTCTTCTATGTTTATATACTTTTTTTCATGCCCTCCAATTATGTGAAATAGTAAGTTTCTCTCCCTTATTCATTTCTTCTTTAGTGTATTCCTTTCCACTCCTTTTTCTTTCCTTTCTTAAAACCAACAAAACAAAACAAAGTACATCTAAGCCTTTTGTTTCTCTACTTGCCACCCTCCACGATCCTTGGAAGTAGGATTCTGAAGCATCACTTTTTTTTCTTCTTTCTCTAATTGAATATAAGCTCTTCACCAACATTTAGCCCCTTTCAGTTACTCAAATGTCTTTATCTTTCTAGATTTCTCTTGACTCCTGTACTAGTCTTTTCATCAAGAATTGCTTGCCAAGGATCTAAGACATCTCTAAAAGTCTCATGATGGAAACTGCTATCTTCACCCAAAGAAAGAACTATGGAGTTTGAATGCAGATCAAAGCATACTATTTGCTCTTTTTTTTTCTTCTGTTTTGTTTTGTCTCCTCTTTCTTGTGGTTCCTCTTATGGGTTCTAATTCTTCTTTACAACATGACTAATGTGAAAATATGTTTAATAGGAATATACATGTAGAGGTTATGTCAGATTTCACACCATCATGGGGAGAGAGGCCGGGAGGGAGAGGAAGAAAATTTAAAACTCAAAAACTTTTGGAAGTGATTGTTGAAAACTAAAAATAAATTAATTAATGGGGAAAAAAGAGAATGCTTGCAAATCATTTATTCTTTTAAGGATACTTTTTTCCCACTTTGTACATTATATTCAGTTTTGCAGGATTAAGTCATTCTTCATTGTAAGTCTTCACCTTTTGCTTTTTGAAATATCATAGTTGAAGATTTTTTTTCCTCCTTAATAATATTTGTAATGCAATTCCATGAGATCCTGATTATTGTCCTTTGATACTTGAACTCTCTTTCTCTCTGCTTGCAGCATTTTTTCCCTTAACTTGGAAGTTCTTTGTTTTGGTTATGACACTCCTGGATGTTTCAAGTTTGGGGTTTCTTTCAGGAGGTGATCAGTGTATTCTTTCTATTTTTACTTTGCCCTCTGGGTCTAATAGATTTAGGCAGAAGTCTTTTAAGATTTTTTGAAATATGGTATCAAAGTTTTTTGTTTGGTCATGGTTTTCAAAAACTCCAATGCTTCTTAAATTTTTTTCTTCTTTACCTGTTTTCCAAGTTAATTGTTTTCTATAGCAGATGTCTTGCATTTTATTTCATTTTTTTTCCAGGCCTGACTTTGTTCTAATGTTTCTTGTTACCTCCTGAAATCTTTGAGTTCTGATCACTCCATTCTATTTCTCAGGGTATTCTCTAGTTGAGTAATATTTTTTACTTTTTGTTTTAAACTATTTTTCTTTCAGGCCCTCACTCCACCCCTACCCAGAGCGCCTATTCCAACCGTAATTTTGTTTTTCATCTATTCCTTCACTTCTTCCAGTCACTCTTGCTGTTCTTATGGCCATGTCATTTTTTTTCCCCTTTGAGGCTTTGCTTATAGTTTTTGTGGGTTTACTGTCTTCTTCTGGGTTTACCTCTTAGGTTTCTCTTAACCTAGAATCTTTCTTCATTGTATTGAATGTTTTCTTCTTATTTACTCAAATTTCCAGCTTCAATTCTTGGACCGGAGGTGTGTGCCAGTGCCAGACTCTGAACCGTCTGGCACTCTTGGATGGGCTGAGTAGGCCCTTTTAGGTCCTGTATCTCCTGTTAATCTGGAGGTTGCTGCCACTGTCATTCTGGATGAGGTGGCTGGTGAGAAGCCCTTCCCTCTGCCACCATCTCTGGCTTCTATCTCAGCCTCTTGGTAGTCTACTGTGAGTAGTGGATTCTTTCCATTTTGGTCTCCTCTTCCTTACACAGCCTTCCATCAGGAAGTAGTTTTGTCCCCCTGTTGTGGCCTTGGCAAGCTGCTATTAAATTTTTTTTGGAATTTATTTAGTATTTTATTTTTCCCCAGTTACATGAAAGAAAAATTTAACATTCATTTTTAAAACTTTGAGTTCCAAATTCTCTCCTTTCCTCCTCCCCCACCCTCCTTCATTGAGAAGGCAAGCAATTTGATATAGGTTATACATGTGTAGTCATGCAAAATATTTCCATATCCATCATGTTGCGAAAGAAAACACAGACCAAAAAAAAAAAACCTTAAGAAAAATAAGCAAAGCAAAAAAGTATGCTTCATTCTGTATTCAGACACTGTAAATTCTTTCTCTGGGGATGGGAAGCTTTTTTCATCATAAGTCCTTCATAGTTGTCTTGGATCATTGTATTGCTGAGAATAGCTAACTCATTCACAGCTGATCATCTTACAATACTGCTGTTTCCTTGCACGCAGGGAACCATCTCCAGTTGTCCTGATCTATGTCTTGCCACTGGATTCCTGTGGCTCCAGAGGAGAAAGTGAGGCTGGTGACCTTGCACAGCCCTGCCTCACTTAAATCCAATTCACTTGCAAGTCATGACATCATCTTCCTGATGTCATAGTCCTCTTTGAGAATAAAGGACAAGCAATGACAATTTTGTACACAGTACATTTTACTTTGTATCAGCTCATGTAAGTCTTTCCAGGTTTTTCTGAGGGCTGCTATTAAATTTTGCAGGGGACTCTGGTCTCAGGCTTCCTGCAAGGCCTCCTGTTTCAGATACCAAAGTAATAAGTTGTCACCGCTTCATTCTATGGCTTCCAATTCTCTGAGGAGTGTGCACTTGGGCTCTGTCTCTGGGCACTGTGAGCCCAGCAATGAGCTCTAGAGACTAGCTCTGCCCTCTGCTTGACCAGAACCCAGATCTGGTTTCAGGTCCCAAGTAATAGAATTTGTGCTGGCTTGCAATGTTCCTGGAACATTCTTGTTCAGAAGGCTAATTGGCTTCAGATCCATTTACTGGGGCTTGAGCTCACAATCCTGGTATTGGCCTTCACCCTAGTGCTCAGATACTTCAAACTCCTTTATTAGAACTTGTTCTGGCTTCCCTGGTTTAATCTATGTCCTATCCTCTGATGGCTTCTCATCACATTTTTGTATGAGTCTAGAGTGGATTAGAACTTACTTCTGTTTTTCTTCAGCCTTCTTTATCACTGATTTTTTGGGTACTTTTCAAATGAGTTAGTAGGGCTCCTCTATAATAGTTGTTACCATTTATATAGTACTTCAAGGTTTGCAAAGCACTTTATCATTTGATGCTTATGACAGCTCTGAAAGGTAGATGCTACTATTATCCTCATTTTAGAGATTAGGAAATTAAAGCAAACAGAAGTT